CCTCCAGCCCCGTGGCCCCTTTCAGAGGTCCAGCCCTCATCTACTCCCAGGTGGGTCATTGCAGTTACTGACTAACTCTTTCCTGCTTCTAGTGTTTTCCTTCTGCAAACTCTAATTCTGCATACCATTGCCCAAATTACTCTCCTAAAACAGGTCAGATCATGTCACTCCCCTACTGAAGAACCCTTCACCGCTCTCTACTGCCTGCACAAGAGAGGCTGACTTGGCCTGAGCAAAGTCTCCTCCACCACCACCCAACCTACATTTCTGCTGCCTTTCCCACTCTAGGTCCTCTAGTGCATCTCACCACTCTTCTGAGTAAGCTTTCTACTATTATTCATGCTGTCCCCTAGCCTGTAATGATATCTTTCTCCATTCCTCAAAGACCACAATGATCTTACTCATACTTTAAAATCCATTTCAAATATTACATCCCACTTCAGTCAGCAATCATCTATGGAGGGACTACCATGTGCCATCCATTCGCTCAACATTTTTTTGAGCTGCTACTCTATCTAGGCGCTGGGGATTCAACAGTGAACAAAACAAACAAAAATACCTGCCCATGTAGAGCTTAGTGGAAGAGGCGAACAACAAAAGAAGCACAAGGCTAAGAAAATGTTAGATAAGTGCAATGCAGAAAATTAGACCCAGGTGGCTATTTTCATCTGAAATGGCCCTTTTGAGGAGGTGACATCTATACTGAGAGCTGAATGAGAGGAACAAAGGGACCAGCCATTCAGAGGTTAGGGGGCAAAGCATTCTAAAGATAGCACCAGCCAGTGTGAAGACTTCCATGTGAAACAAAGTCTGATTAAAGAACAGAGAGAGAGGGCCAGAGCTGCAGAAGCACAGGGGTAAAAGAAGAGTAATGGGAGAGGCATTTGGAGCCAGCTCAGGTATGCTTTCTAACTTAGGGCAAAGAGTTAAAATTTGATTCTCTGTGCAATGAAGGGAAGTCACTGGAGAGTTTTATGCAAGAGAGTGACATGATATAGTTTGTGTTTGAGCACTATCACTCTGTTGCTGTGTGAATAACAGATTGGGAGGGTGACTAGGGAGCAGGTACCAGGTGGGCACTTTGGTAGCAGTCCAGTTTTCCTTTAATTACCAGCTGAGTTTAATGCAAATGAAGGTCAAAAGCTCCCCTTGCTCCTATGCAAAATATTACAATTCTTATTATTACCTAATGGAACCTGGTTGGGCTGACCTCTCTGCAGCCTCCGGTACACCATCTATGCCCATGCTACTGAGCCTTGCTGACTCTCTGTCAGCTCCCCAAATGCACCATTCCTTTGGGCCACAGCGCCTTTGGACTTGCTATGGTTCTATGTTATTTGTGCACATGATAAAATACACATAACAAAATTTACTACTTTAACCATTTTAAAGTGTACAATTCAGTAGCATTAAGTACATTCACAGTGTTGAATAACCATCACCACTATCTAGCTCCAGAAATGTTTCATCACCTCAAGAGGAAACCTTGTGCCTATTAAGCATTCACTTCAGGTTCTACCTTGTCCCAGTCCTTGGCAACCATCAATCTGCTTTCTGTCTCTATGGATTTGCCTGTTCTGGATAAGTCATACAAAGGGAATAATACAATATGTGGTCTTTGTGTCTGTCTTCTTTCATTCAGTATGTTTCATGTTTCCAAGATTCATCCACATCGTAGCATGCATCAGTTACTTCATTCTTTTTCATGACAGAGTAATATTCCATTGCATGCACAGACCACATTTTGTTTATCCATTCATCAGGTGATATACACTGGTTTAGATTATTTCCACCTTTCAGCTATTGTGACTAGTGCTTCTGTGAACATTCAGATACAAATTTTGGTTTGAACACCTATTTTCAATTCTTTTGGGTATATGCCTAGCAGTGGAATTAATGGGTGATATGGTAGATGTGGTTATATTTTGAGAAACTGAAGATCAGTGACCTTAGGCATGCATTAGTCTCCTGTGGATGCTTTAATAAAGTATCACAAAATGGATGGCTTAAAACAGAAATGCATTCTCTCATAGTTCTAGAGACCAGAAGTGTGAAATCAAAATATCCCCAGGGCCATGCTCCCTGTAAAATTGGATAGATTCCTTCTTGCCTCTTTCTGGCTTCTGGTGGTGGCCAGCAATCCTTGGTGTTCCTTGGCTTGCAGCAGCATTATTCCAATCAGTCTCATGGCCTTCTCCCTGTGTGTGTCTGTGTTTTACATTGTGTTTTTTCTTTTAAGGATTAAGGATGTACCCTATTCAGTATGACCTCATATTAACTTAAATAATTACATCAGCAACAACCTTATTTCTAAATATGGTCACATTCTGAGCTTCTGCGGTTAGGACTTCAACATATCTTTCTGGGGGGACACAATTCAATCATGACAAACTGACAGACATTACTGTGCATCTGAATCTCTTGGAGATCTTGTTAACATGGGTTTTGGGTGGGTTTTGGTTCTGCATTTTCAACAACCTCTCCAGGGAGAGGGTGACCAACTTGTTCTGGTTGTCCAAGACTTGCCCAGTCTCAGCAATGAAAATCCAGAGTGCAAGAAAATCCTCAGTCCTGGGACAACTAGGATGGTTTTGTCATCCTATTCCATCACAGATCACAATTTGAGGAACAAGAATCTAGCTATGAGCTATATTAATTTATCCACTAATTGCATTGCTGAATAGTCATATTTATCCTTACACTTAAATAATTTATTTTTGCTACAACAGCCCAAGTTTTCAAGAATCTGAACCTGATAATCTCCCAAAACTCCAAACTGTGAAATGGTTAGTTGAGCTGATGAGTGCCATCTGTGAATATCATATTAACTCATTATCTATGATAATTTCAGTGTCCCTGTTGGACTGAAAATTGAGATTTCTGACCCCTTTACAGAATAATTATGCATGGACAAGACCTTTTGAGGATAAGGGTATCCACTAGGCCTGAAGTATTCTGTATCCTTTTCCTGCTGCCTCCTGGGGACTCTGAAAGTGGAGAAGAAAGCTCCTTCCTGAAGTTGGGTTTAAGCTCATCCCAGTAGGGACAGAGTCCCTCTATTCTTGATTTGTATTAGGAGCACCTGAAGAACTTTAAAAACCGCTGAGCCCTCACCCTGCAACAAATGATTCAGGCTACCTGGGATTGGGCCCAGACAGTCATAGTTTCTTAGTTGGTTTTTTTTTAAGCTCTCCAGGTGATGCAAATGAGCAAGCAGAGTTGAAAATCATTGTGCAGGGGTTTCCTTTATAACAGAAACATTGCCAACCTGTTCCTAATCTTTTTTCACCTGCATCCATATTCCTCTTCACTCCCCTCTATGCCTACATGCTCTTTTGTTATGGTTGATCATTTCCTTAAGCAGGTTTTCCTCTTTCACATATTTGTGTCCTGTTTATACAATGACCTCACTGACCCAGGACCATGTACAACTCATTGGCGGTAATAATTACTCCTGCAACAACTGACTTTGGCAGGCTTTCCTCAAGCCTTATTGACTCTGTTTTTTACTATTTCACAAAAGTATCCTTAACATCATCTATGATTGAGAGCCTGTAATAGTGTTGCTGTTTCAATTGCAGAGTCTCTCAGGAATCAAGCTAAATCTCCCACAAAATCTGTACTGTGTGTTCCTCTATAAACCAAACACAGGAAATCTGGGTGGAGTGTACATTAGTTTTTTATTGGGATATCATTCAGATGCCATAAAAGCCACCCTTTGAAAGTGTACAATTCAGTGGTTTTTAGTATATTCACAAAATTTTGCAACCATCACCACTAATTTCAGAATATTTTTCTCACTCCAAAAAAACCCCCCCTATTCCTTAACAGTCTCTACTCCTGCTGCCACCCTGAAACCTCTAATATATTTCCATCTCCATGTATCTATTTTGGACATTGCCTATAAATGGATTGTTCAATATGTGGTCTTTTGCGTCTAGTCTTTCACTTCATGTATTTTCGAGGTTCACACATGGTATAGCAGATATCAGTACTTCATTCCTTTTGGTGGCCAAATAATTTTCCATTGTATGGATGCACTATATGTTTATCTATTCATAATTGATGGACTTTAGGGTTTTCTGCTTTTTAGCTATGATAGATGGTGCTGCTATGAAGATTCATATACAAGCTCTTGTGTGAACATGTTTTCATTTTCTGAGGTATGTACTTAGGAGTGAAATTGCTGGGGTCATATGGTAACTCTATAGCTTTTTGAGGAACTGCCAAATTGCTTTTGAACATTATTTTTTGACCTTGATACTTGTTAGGGTGGGAAAAATGATTCACAGCCAGTTTTAAAATGTTGTGTGCAGGAAGAATGGTACCTTCTTACAGAAACGTCTTATCATTCAGCTTCATCATTTCAAAATGTGAGGAAGTCTCTCTCTCTCTTTATATTCATATACACACACACACACACATATATATAAAGGAGCTTCTGTGGCGGTGAGGGTTTGGGGTGTCAGCTCCCGGGTTCCTGGCCATCCCTCCAGCTGTATCTCCGGCCACCTGTCACAGTCTGTTTTTGGCACAGAAAAAGCCTGCTTGTTCCAAGGACATGACTACTGGGGCCACTTCCATCTGAGGAGGCCTGGTGGGGCGTCCAAATGTAGAAACGTGATTGCTTTTCAGGGGTACCAATAAACTTTATGCAGCCAGGTGCAGACAGTCCTGGAAATGCAGAGCCCTACTATGTACAAAGTGGAGACTTACGTGCTATGGCAGCCTGGAAAGGGTTGGCCTGACCTTCGACCCCGCCTTCGAGCTCTCGCATTCCCTCCCCACCGCCCTGCCCAGCTCTTGGGCTGGGAGTGTGGGCCTGCGCGGGCTGGCCGGGGCGCCCGGCCTTCTCAACATGCGCAGTCGCTGCCTGGCCAGCTCCTTCAAAGACCGCCCCGCAGGGAGCGCGCTCACGCACACGCACGCGCACAGCCTCGCCGGCGCGCGCACCGGGTCTCTCGCGGCACGCGCCCCCGCCCCGCCCCACCCCGCCTCCTCCCTCCTCCCGTGCGCCCGCCCGCCGCCTGCCGCCGCCGCCGCCGCCGCCGGAGCTCTGTAGTATGGCATCGAGGAGAATGGAGACCAAACCTGTGATAACCTGTCTCAAAACCCTCCTCATCATCTACTCCTTCGTCTTCTGGGTGAGTGGCCACGCCGCGCGGGTGGTCGTGCCGCCTTCTATCAGTTGGTATAGTGATGCTCGGAGAAAGGAAGGGGGAGGAAAAAAAAAAACGAAGCCAAAAATCAAATTTCAGCCCCCTCCTTAAGAGATAGGCGCAGGGTACTGGGCCGGGGCTGCAGGATGGCGGCGTGCAGGCTTGGGGCCCTTCGGACCCTGGACCTTGCCCGGCGCAGGCTGCAAAGGGCTGCGTGGTGGCGGTGACTGCAGGTTATCGACCTTTCCAAAATATTTTTAATGCACACATTTATTTTTTAAGCTCACAGGATAGGGTCAGCCTCTGGGGGAAAGTTGCGGGTTTATTCGTCTTTTTTCCTGTCTGGACTCCCCTCTCCAACCTCCCTTACCATCCTGTTCGCGGCGCTTCTCGGAGCTAACCTGGCTGGGAGCAGGCGCGGGAGCGCCGGGTTTGATCCCAGATTCCCGGTTATTCCCGACCTCGCGGGGCTGTGAAAGGAGGACACCGGGAGCTCTGTGCCTGCATGACCCGCCAGGGGCGACCGAAGCCCCCCAAACGCACAGATGCCCGGCGAGGGCCGGCGTCGCGTGGAGATGTGCGGAGGGACGAGGGTCTTACATAAACCAGGGGCTTCGTTGAGCTTTCTCGGCGACACAGGAGATGGGTCTTCCGACCTTTTTCCCACTTTCCTCCACCCTTACACTCTTCATCTGGTCTTTCTGTCATTGCGTGAACCCAATCCGCAGAGCCCTGCGGGAAGACCCTTGCCAGTTGGTAACAGCAATAGCGCCCCAAATCTTCTCCCCATTGAACCGATGCTGCTCAGTCCTTGAAGCTCAATGCAGAAGGGTGACGTCAGCCCCTCAGCTGAGGCCTCGGGGGGCTGCGTGGTGCACCTCGCGGAGGGATGCGCCCTAATGCGCGGGAGGAGGAGGAGGAAGAGGGGGCTCAAGGCTTGTGCCTTACCTCATCCTGTTTGGCAATTGGTGGAATCAGTGGGGCTGACACTGCAGTGATTCACTTGGAGGCGTGGGTGGTACCTAAAGACCATTCCCCGTTATTTCTCCTTCCATGTAGAAGACTCCCCTTCGCAATTCCCCATTCCCACACCAAGCCACAGCCACCCTGCAGAAGAATGAATGTCTGCCCCCGCGCCACCCCCCGAACACACACTCAAACAATAATCTGGGTCATTTCAGCTTCCAAGGCAGTCATTTTGAAACCTGAGGCTCTGTAGAAAAACCCAATCTTGCTTCTGGTGGTTTCTCTCCTAGCTACCCACCACCCCCCTCCCTCCCCCTGCCCCCTGCAAATTAGCCCTAATTTTGGTTTGAAACTGGACATAGTGCTCTATGAGGGACCCATAGCCGGCCTGGTGGTGAACCAGGTTGTTTGTAATGACCAAGGCAAGAACTGAAATTTATTAAAGATTAAAAAAAATTCTCTAATGCCCCTACCCCTGAGGGGATTCATTTCCTTGTCACTGGCATTAGTAATTCTTCAGGTTGGGGAAACTGGACTCAGCACCAGGCATAACAAGAGCTCTGCATCAAGATAGGATAGGTGAACTGGTATATTTATTACACAAGGCAAACACAGAAATGGACTTTACTTGGACTGAAAATGAGACAGGTTGAAAAATTTCAGTAGTGGCATTGTGAGCTATGCACATGGATCGTATCTTATGTTCTGCCTGGAAAAAGCAATAGTGTATGCTGTGCTGAAACTTCCTGGTAGCCATTCCTGGGAACTGGTTTAGCTTTTTATTTATTTCTTCAATCTGTTTTGTTTGCCCCGTTAGCATTCACTTGACTTCCTATTTGTTACTGGAGTAAATCATATGGGTGAGTATTTTTAGCTTCCTGGAAAATAATGTTTACAGTATATATGAAGCAGTGTTGTTCCTTCGGCATCACTGCAGGCTGGTAAAGAAGGGAGTCTTCTAGACAGGCTTTTCCTATCAGTTCTTTAACTCTTACCTCTCCCTGACCAGGTGAATCTATTTACAGTGCCCCCTAATACATCTTAAACAAGCACTGCATTTTATGTCCTCTGAAGAAGATGTCTGCGTTTTAAGTTTTTCCTACTTTTAAGATTTTTATAATCTTAAAATGTTTACCTGGAGCATTTTCAATAGTTTAGATAGCATTGAATAATCATTTCCTACTTCACAATCAAAAGAATGAGATTTCTTCAGATGCAAGGGTATTTTAAGTAAGACACTTCTGTTAATAAACCGTGGCCCAAATGCCATGTTTTCCATGTACCTTAAGAGCTATTTTTTTAAAACAGCTTTATTTGAAATATAACTCACATACCATATAATTCACCCTTTGTAAAGTATATAATTGTGGTTTTTAGTATTCACACATATATGCAACCATCACCCCAATTTCAGAACATTTTCATTATCTGAAGAAGATACCCCATGCCCTTTGCCCTCAACCCTCTATCTCCATTCTCCCACCCCACCCCCCATTCCTACACAATCACTAATCTACTTTCTTTCTGTCTCTATAGATTTCCATATTGTGGACAGTTCATATAAATTAAATCGTATGTGGTCTTTTGTGAATGGCTTCTTTTGCTTAATATGTTTTCAAGATTCATCTATGCTCATTCATTTTTATGGCCAAATAATGCACCATTTGTATGACTCTATCACATTTTGTTTATACATTTGTGCATTGATGGGAATTTGGGTTGTTTCTGCCTTTTGGCTATTATGAATAACGGTGCTATAAACATTCACGTACAAGTGTTTGTGTGAATATGTTTTCAATTCTCTTTGCTGGGTCATGTGATAACTCTATGTTTAATCATTTGAAGAACTGCCAGATAGTTTCCAAAGTGACTGTACCATTTTACATTCCCTCCAGTAGTGTATGAGAGTTCCAATTTCCCCACAGCCTTGCCAACATTTGTTATTATCTGACTTTTTGAGTTTAGTCATCTCAGCCTAGTAGACATCTAATTGTGGTTTTGGTTTGAATTTCCCTGATGAGTAATGATGTTGAGCACCTTTTCATGTGCTTGTTGACCATTTGTATATTTTCCTTGAAGAAATTTCTGCTCATATCATTTGCCTTTTTTTTATTTGGGTTATTCATTTATTGAGTCGTAAGTGTCCTTTATATATTCTTGATTCAAGTCTTTAATTCAGTATATCATTTGCAAATATTTTCTCCTATTCTATGGGTTGTCTTTTTACTGTCTGGATGGTGTCCTTTGAAATACAGAAGTTTTTATTTTCATAAAATCCAATTTACCTAATTTTTTTTGTTGTTGCTTGTACTTTTGGTGTCATATCTAGGAATCTTTTGCCAAATCCAAAATCATAAAGAAAATGCTGTTTGTAACAGTAATTTATCAATGTGTCTTTCTATAGTACCTAGAACTATGTCTGGGCATAGGTAGGTACAAACATTTATTTGTCATTTCTGAGGTTCTGTCAGGTAATTAACAAAAAAGATGACTGGTGTTCTTTTAAGCAGAAGATAGTGCGAAGATTAGGCAGAATTGTTTCCTGTGTGTTCTTTGTTAACCATTTTAATAAGACTACTTTTTTTCCCTTCCCTTAGTTTATATATAGGACTAGAAGGCATTTGAGCTTAAAATGCTAGTAGATCAGTAGCATCCAGAGGCTGATTGATGTACCTGAGCGTATACTAAAGCAGAAATTTGCAGTTATGAAAGAGAGATCTTTGTTATATCTGGCCTCCTCTTCTGTCTACACTGACTCTCTCTGAGGGGTTCTTCTAAGGCAGTGATCCCAACAGAGAACAGATTTGTCCCCGCACACTCGACATCTGGCAATGCCTGGAGACTTTTCGATCACAGCTGTGGGTGGTGGGTAAAGGCTACAGGTGCTGCTAAGCATCCCATACGGTGCAGGACAGCCCCTCACAACAAGGATTATCTGGCTCAGAATGTCAACAGTGCCTGCAACCTATGCACTATTGGACTTTACATAGTAGTAAGTCCTATGAAGAAAAATGGAGTCTTAGGCAAAACTCTCCATATTTACTGGTGTTTGGAACCACCACACCAGAGCATGCTCAACAAAATCACAAGAAGAAAAACATTCTCTACGGCTTACCAAAATTCTTTATTTGAATACAAAAGGTAGGTAGTTGTTTATGTAATAGTGCTTTGACTAATTTATCTTCCAGTTAAATAACATCACCTGAATGCTAGGTAAGCAGATTCTTTATTTTCCATGATTTTTATGTTTCGTTTTCAGGTTTGTAGAAGAGGAGGGAAAAACAACCTATGAGTAAGTTATCCTGTGCTTTAAAGACTAGCAAACAGTTCTTGGCACACAGTAGGTTTACTGAAGAAGTATTTACTGAATGAATAAATAAATTTTATTGGCTACTCTTGGGCTCATGTGTTTATTTCAACTCACCTTAGTTGGGAGGCTTTTTTCCACTCTACCTGTGCTGATTCAAATGTGTTCCTGACATTGATGTATGGAAATGTGGAAGGGCTTTATAAAGACTTGCTTATCCTGATGATAGTTCAGTTATTATATTTTTAGGATCAGCTACTTTGCCAACTATTTTAGTTATCTAAAATTTTAATCTGAATTTAATTTAAGCTTGAATAAAATGATATCTTGTCCTAATACAAAACCTTCACAACAAATATAATTTTTTCAGCAACAAACAGGAAATCTTTATAAATATGGTGCTTACAAGGTAAATTCTGTTTTTATATACATGTTTTTGAGTGTATTTTAAACACATCTGAGTTTTAAACTAAGATTTAAATCCACTGTATTTAAATCTGCTAAATATTGTGAAGAGAAATACCCCTTCATTCCAGCAATATAGTGTTTGATTTCTTCTTTGATTATCTAAGGAGGTAGTTAGCTATCAATGGCACGATCAAATTCTCTTATGGTGAAATATGAGTGATTTTTTTTTTCATTTGGGAAGCATCACAAATTTTGGAGGAGGTGGGGAAGATTAAAAAAAAATAAACTCAAAATGGTTTTTTTT